TCAAGTAGATTAGCCGACCAATCAAACGCCGGTAACGTTCTGGATCCTCCATAAGTGGGTGTTCTGATAAAGCGAGTCGATGATTTTGTTCAATTGGAACAGACGCTGGCTTGGCCCCTAACAAACCCGTCTCAGCCACAATGTCCAACGCATATTTTCGCTGGCATAGGAAAATTCCATCTAACCCGCGACTCACTTCAATGCCAAGAAAGTATTTTAGTACACCAAGGTCTTTCATATGAAAGCAACGTCCAAGATAATTCTTGAGACGAGTCACAGCCGTAGAATCATTTCCTGCAACAACTAGATCATCAACATAAATCAGTATGCTTAAGCGAATAAATCCCTTATCATAAGTGAAAAGAGAATAATCCGATAATGATTGAGAGAAGCCATAGAGCTTAAGTGCTGCTGTCAACTTCGTAAACCAACATCTCGGAGCTTGCCTTAAACCATATAGCGATTTTTTCAATTTGCACACCTTCGTCTGATCAGCGGAAGCAAAACCGGGTGGCAATTTCATATAAACCTCTTCGCTCAAATCGCCATGCAAGAACGCGTTATTCACATCCATTTGGTGAAGCTCCCACTTCTTTGCTGCAGCCACGGCCAAAAATGTTCTCAACGTTACCATTTTTGCTACCGGTGCAAATGTCTCTTTGTAGTCTATGCCTTCCCGTTGATTATTCCCCAGTACGACCAAACGAGCTTTGTACCGCTCAATACTGCCGTCAGACTTGTACTTGATTTTGTAGACCCATTTGCTGCCTATGGCCTTCTTTCCAGCAGGAAGAGTCTCCAAAGTCCAAGTATTATTGTTCTCCAAAGCCTGAATTTCTAATCTCATTGCTTCTCTCCATTTCTCATCTTTCATAGCCTCAGAGAATCGTGTGGGTTCAACACCGGTATCAATTTGAGCCACGAAGGCTCTATGCCTAGCAGAGAATTTACCACATGTCACATAATTAATTATGGGATAAAGGGAAGTACCTGAGGATCCTTGTTGTGAGTCGAGTGTAGGGCGAACGGGGTCATGCGAGCATCGAGCATTGTATGTAACAAAATCTTTCAACAAAACAGACGGCTTATGGTGTCGGTGACCCCTTCCCAGATTTTCTTTGGCTGCCGCAGCCGCCACACCTTCAGCAATATCAGTGGCTCCCCGATCCACCGTTTCTACTGCTTCATTTTGTTCGTCGCTTTCCCTATCATCACTTGCCTCGTCGCTCCCCCTCTCCCTAACATCACCTGCCTCGTTACTCCCCCTCACTTCGTCGGTGTCATCATCGAGGACATTATCAACTGTCTCTCCAACCAGATCGCGAGATTCTGGTTCAACGTTTGTCTTATAAGGAAATACATGTTCAGAAAAGACAACGTCACGGGAAACAAAGAATTCGCCGGTTTTTATGTCGAAAATTCGCCATCCTTTCTTCCCGTGTGGATAACCCAAAAAAATGCACTCTCTACTGCGTTCACCAAATTTATCTTTGTTGCGATCAACCCGACGTGCATAGCATAGACAACCAAATGTTCTCAAAGTGCCATATTGTGGCAACTCTCCAAACAACATCTCATAGGGAGTTTTGCCGCCAAGAAGTAAAGACGGAGTCCTATTTATCAAGTGACTTGCTGTCAAAACACACTCACCCCAAAATTGTATCGGTAAGTGTGCCTGGAACATCAACGCTCGAGCCACATTCAAAATATGTCTGTGTTTGCGCTCCACTCGACCGTTTTGCTGAGGTGTTGCGACACATGATGTTTGGTGCAAGATTCCTTGTGCTTCAAAATATGATCTTAGGCATAGGAATTCTGTACCATTATCACTGCGTACAATTCTAACCTGCTTCTGAAATTGTCTATCAACCATGACACAAAATTTTTTAATTGTTTGTTCAACTTCTTTCTTATCGAGCAACAGATAAATCCAAACAGCTCTCGAAAAATCGTCAACAATAGTCAAGAAATAGACAGCACCACAAGTCGAAGGTGTCCGATAAGCACCCCATAAATCAACATGAATTAAAGCAAAACAATCAACGGCTTTATTATTACTTGTAGGGAAAACTTCTCGAGTCTGTTTTGCTCGCAAACAAATATCGCAAGAATCTTTATTAGTGTGATCACTACTACCACTCTTAACTACTGGAATAAAAGATAACAACTTCTTGGACGGGTGTCCTAATCTTCGATGCCACAATTCTCGTTCATCCAAACCGCTCGCTTTACATGCTCGTGCTGTCGGAATTGCTCGGAAGAAATAGACCCCGTCGCACTCTTCACCCGCTCCAATCAGGATCCTCGAGATGCGGTCCTGTATCACACATAACTTATCAGTGAAAGTAATAATACATTTTAGTGCTTTCAAAAATTTAGACACGGATATAAGAGTGCAGGTCATAGTCGGAACAAACAAAACATTATTCAAATAACGACCACTTCCTAGGCATAATTTGCCTTCTTTCAAAGCAATTGCATTTTCTCCATCAGGAAGTTCCACTGGAGTCGGTGTTATTTCACAAACATGGGATAACAGTTCTAAATTTCCAGTCATATGATGAGAGGCGCCCGAGTCTACGATCCATTCATCATAATTTTTCTTACCAGAAAGTCGTTCACCACCACTTTTACTTGAATTCAACATTGCAAGTAACGTGGCCCATTGCTCTCCACTAAGGTTGGGGAAGGCCTGTCGTTCCGTGTCGAATCGAGTGGCCTCGTTTTCGGTTGGCACACGAGTGACATTTACTCTTGCACCGCCTCCTCTGCCACGTCCAATCAGTCCTCCTCCTCTGCCTCGGGGAGTCCCTTTCTCGTTCCCTCTAGGCCTATCTCCCCACCATTCTGGATAACCGACAATCTGATAGCACGTTTTAGCATCGTGCCCAGATTTTCCACAATGGGTGCATATCCCTGGTTTCTCTTTATTGCGTACAGCCGCTGCTCTCGCATGTGATCCCAATTGAGCACTAAAACCCACTGCATCGCCGCGATCTTCGTTGCTCCGGGCAATGTTCCGATGTCGTTCTTCTTGAATTATCATCGCGTAGGCTCTATTAATATTGGGCAAAGGTTCCATGCTCAATATATTAGAGCGCACTGTTCCGTACATCACATCATCCAGCCCCATCAAGAATTGATGCACCTTCTCCTCGTCTCGCTTCTTTTCCAGTGAAGAGGAGATGTTGCACTTGCAACCACTACACCTACACTCGGGTATAGGTTCGTAATTAACCAGTTCGTCCCACATCATCTTTAGACGTCCGTAGTAAGTCACTACCGCTTGCCCTTGTTGTTTACACGCTGCAAGATCAGCTTTCAATTGATGAACTCGAGCGCCGTTTCCGATAGAAAATCGTTGGCGAAGATCCTCCCACAGGTCCTGCACGTTCTCCATATAGCTGATGGTGGATCTCAATGATGGTTCGATCGTATTGATGATCCAGGCAACCAACATCGAGTTTACCATCCACCAGTCCTCCATCTCTGAAGAGTCCTCTGCTGGTTTCGTTAGAGTTCCGTCGATAAATCCGAGCTTTTTCTTTGCTCGGAGCGAATTGCGCATCGATCTCGCCCATTCCTCATAGTTCTCTCCTTTCAGTTGAACTGGCGAAATCAACGATCCGGGATTATCAGAAGGGTGAAGGTAGTACGGTGAGACAACCGACTGCCCCTTGCTGGTTCCTTCGCCGGTCGCCGTAATCTTCTCACCACCAGTCATCTTCTTCTTCTTCTTCTTTCTTTCTTTCTTTTTTTTTTTTTTTTTTTTTTTTTTTTTTTTTTTTGGATGACTATACGTTTGGCTCTGATGCCATGTGAAAACCTTTTTGGAGAAGAAGTATTCTGTCTGGTTCTTATTAAACGTAAAGCCCCTTTATATAGGAGTTAGAAGGAATCCAAATCATATAGGATTCTATGTTACCATGCAAAACAAAC